GCTGCGGCAGAGAGAAGACTGACTTACCGAAACGAATATGACAATTTCTTACGGTAACTTTATTCCTTCAAGGATTTTGGCGACTTTGGAAACTTCCAGATCATCTCTAATCTCCGAAAATTTGTTGCTATGCATGAATCACCTTGTGATAAGAACTTCAGAGCTTTGTTTCAAAGAGAATGCTAAAAAACGTGAGCACAGTACGAATCAGCAGACCGCGTAACGCATATTTGTTGTGGAACGCACAGTCAACTGCAGGCGACGAAGGCGCGTAAAGCATACGACTGCCAGAACGTATAAAATGCCTTGGTTAGATGCTAATGTTTGACTGTGAAACTATCTGTCGTTCATTTGACTTCAGTCGACACCTCTAGACGATCTCCAATCAGATGTTTGAAGAACCTGTTTGCAGTTTCATGCAGTTCATTTCCGGGAGCTGAGCGGCAAATTAACCATAAAGCAGTTTATGAGGCGGCAAAAACTTCGGCTCCGACTGTGAAGCCGTCTAACTGTTCGCAAAAGTGGCGAATCATGGCGTTGCAGACGCACTCTGAGGCAATCTTGGCCCGTTTGGTGCCGGTTTGAGAGGCGAACTTCTTGCCGCTTTCACAAGTGCTTTTCAGCCGTTTTTGGAACCTATGAGCACCTGATTGCGACCTTGATCACCAGACATTTCTGCGCCTGGCTGGCGCCTTTCGACTAAAGGCACTGTTCAGCGATGCCTTGCAGCTGGCAAAAACCTCCAAGAGATAGTGCAGCGGTGAGGGCCGCAATTTATGACCACTTAAGACGTTTATTTGTCATTTGGGTTGTTAGACAAGGTCAAATTTCCACTTTCACGCACTCTGAATTTGAGACACTTACTTTTCTTTGCATATGAGCATCCTTCACTGCACAAGTAAGCGGCGTATGAGTATGCGGATAAAGCATTAAAAATTATTTTACTGAATTTAAGGTACGGCGATTGCTACTTTAAATTTAGGACATCCATAGAAAGAAAGAGAATATGGAACAACTGCGTGGTTCATTTATCTCAGAGAATTGGATTCATGCACACATTTTAGAAATATTCTTATGCTGAAACCATGAAAATGAAAACCATTGGAAAACATT